ATAATAGTTCTGGCTCCTGAGTTTTTGGTTTTAATATCTGTGGCCCATCTGAGCAATTTAGTTGAATTAATGTATCAAAATAAGCTGCTTTAAAGCCAGCACTGACCATAAACTACATCTCCCATAATGCATGTTGATTATGCATGGGAAATCCATGTCGGAAAATGGGAGTTTAGATTTCTAGATGGCACTCGGTTGTGAGTAAAACTCTTTAACTTTTACCTTTAACGGTATTTCTGTATTATTTATTTCCCATTTAGTCAGTCGTACATGTAGCACTTTTCAGTGTCTATAAGAGGCTGTGTTAAAATGCTGTTTCTATGCAGGAAATACCGCATAGAGCTCAGTTGTTGTTTGTTAGTGCTCAGCCATAAAAATCAAAGTTAATTACAACTGGCCTTTTGAGGGCAACCATAACGCTTATGTGGTCCTTGGTGAAAATGTGTTTGACTCCCTTGATTTATTATTTTAGGAATGTGTCAGTAAATAATCGCATCACTTTACGTCTCCTCTGTTTTCTTCTTTTTCATAGACAAGCGTCAATGTTTATGAACATATAGTGAAACATATAAGTGTATATGTGTACATACTTTTTCTATATGTGTGCATACATACATGTTTTCTTTGAAAACCTCTGGATCTTTGTACTCCCAGGCTTTCTGTACTCTGTCTTGTTGCTGCTGTGATATCTGTATTTCTCTGCTGGTAAATAAAGACTTATCCTATATTTTAATCGTAAGTATGAAAAAAATGTGCTGACTTCACGACATCTCTTGATCCATTTTGTGAGTTTGCATTGAATATATTTAGCTCCACCTGCTGTGACAAAACAAATAAAAATGATGGTTTGTTCAATAAGCTTCCACGTCTCCATCGCTGTCCTTTTGAATTTTGTTCCTGAGCATGAGTGACCTTTCACCTCTGACCTCATGGCACTGATCACACAGGAAACACAAACCCTGTAAACACCATCATCAAGGAGGAGCYCAACACACGCCTGTATCATTTCACCTCAGCCTTTTTCTCAGGATTCATTTTTCAAACTCCAGTTAACACTCCTTTTAGTAGCCTGGGGGAGCTTTTACCTTCATTCCTCAGTGTTTGACCAAAATTTTCATGTTAATTCTGCTGTTTGGGGCTCCAAACCCTGAATAAACACAAACTCGGTCTAATAAAAAAGCATTTAAAAGTGCAAAAAAGGCAACTTTGCTCTTTTCGGCTTTAGTTTGCATGCAAATTTGAAATCTATTTTTGAACAGACTTATTGCTGAACATTTTAAAAGGTTTCGGGGCGAGTATCGAGTGAGGCTCGCTCCAGTGAATATTTCAGCCTACAGGAATTCTTTGAAGTAATGGTCTGCTAAGTAACTTCTCTGCATCGAGCTCAATAGCTGCTCCACACTACTTGCAGAAATGATTTTTCTTTCCCACCTAGCCACAGTTGAAAAATAGTCCAGTCGGCGATCAGTTGAAACAGAGAAAAATTTGCACAGGTGTGTGTGTGTGTATGGGACTGGTAGGTGTGTGTGTGTGTGCTGCATACAGCGGGGAGGATTTTCACATTTTTCAGCTCTCCTGCAGTCTAATGGGTTATTTGTCATCTGCAGTGTAAAGGATTTTTAAAAGTCAAGCCAGGACCGACTCCCTCCCTATCCTTTCTCTCGCCCTCCCTCCCTTTCCCACTACCCCCCTGACACTTGCAATGGGCAATCGATAGGTTATTGATCAACTCTCTCTATCGCCAACCCACCAGACTAATCACCTTAACACCAGCCCAACTCTCTCCTTTCCTCCTTCCCTCCTGTCCTCATCTTCCTCCATTGTTGCCTGGTGTCACACTCATTTGCACAGCAAACTGAGCTTTCCCTCCACATGTGGAGAGCTCACGAGTGTTTTCCACGTCGGAGGTAAACATGCAAAAACTCTCTGCGACCCCAGTGTTTCACTCACGTTCCCCAATCTCCTCGTCCCCTGGCCGGGTGCACCTATGTGGTGGATAAAAACAAGAAAAATTAGCAGTTCATGTTTTTTTTCTCCTCCTCTTTCAGCTTCCATCTCTTTCAGTCTGTCTTTGAGGGTAAAATCAATGTGGAGTATGAAACTGGTGTATTTCTCTGCCTCAGGAAGACTTGAGGCGAACTGACATGGAGAAAGTGTTCACAGTAAAGAAGGCAATTTATAAGCTCAGCTGGTGTTTTTTTTATTTATTTTTTAGAAAAAAATCAGAAAATGCAGAAAAGTTAATATGACAACACTGTACTTTTAGTCTTAAATTTCCTTTTTATTATTATTATTGTTGTTATTTTGCCCAGTTTAGACCCTGCAAAGTTCAGAGCATGCTCAATAAACACTTCAACACAGGGAGTGAAGTTAATTTTACTTAGTGGACGTTTAAAACCCACTAAAGTCTGTTAAATTCAATAAAGTGATTTATTACTCTCACTGAGTGTTACTGTACATCTGCACATGTGAAATTCGCTCCTCTTCATGAAGAAAAATGAAACATATATGCAAAACCTCCTTGATTTCTTCATGAGATATAACCTTACTGAACTTCACGGCCCTAATGTTTGTTTGAACCTATTTTTGGAAAGCTAGTTGGTTTGTGAAACCAGAATGATGCTTGTTGAAGCTCTGGTGTTCAAACAAGGAGTTTTACCTTCAGTGGGAGGAATCAACTTGATTATTTTTTGGTTCTTATTTGAACAAAAGCAGACTTAAATAAAACAAACATATATAAAAAAATCCCTGAAAGGTGAATGGAGGTAATCTTTGACTTTAAGGCATAGAACAGCTGATATCTCAAAATTTTATGCAACTGAAAGGGCAGGTTTGGATTTTATGAGCCAATGAGCTTCTTAATGAGCAGTTTAACGTGTTTTAATTCTTTATCGCAAAAACACACACACACACACATTGGAACGTGTTCTCAAAGAGTGCAGCAAACTACAGAAACAACCTGCTGTGCAATATCAACCACACACACACACACACACACACACACACACACACACACACACAC